TAGATAGTAAGTGATTATTAAAATGATGATTCTAAACACTTTTGCCTTCCCGAGAAGAGAGTCCACATGTGCAATGTATTCTATGAATCAGTGATGTAAACACAGCCTGATTTAAAATTGTTTTCCATTTGGTGGAAAATATATCCTTGATCATGAATCTGAAGTTCAAGAAAGAATTTCAGTTTTATTTTGTCTGTTTTCTTTTATTGACCATTTATGTTTCCCATGTAAACATTATTGGATCTTAAATTGCTTATGTCTACTTGCAAACTTTGTTTAACTATGTTAAATCCTTCTCTCTGTATTTACCACAAATCTAAAATAGACATGATAGTATTATAATTAATGTTACTGGAACAATATCATCAATGATTGATTCATGTATATCTTATGGCTTTGAATGCTGGGATAAAAAAACAAATTATTTATCTAATAAGTCCTTGTATTTACAGAAGTACTTAATCATTTATGAAATATTTCTATAGACATTATCTCATTTGTTTTTTCACCACTGAAACTAACAGTTATTCCTCCCAATTTTTCCTAAAAGAAGAAATTCGGAATCATTGAGAGATTAAAATCTGCAATATCCATCTAAATCCATTTATTTAGAGAAATATTTATGGAAACTTTAGTATTTAGAGAACTGTTATAGGTGGCTATCAATACTCTTGGTTTGAAGAAGAGTGAAGAGATCTTCGCTTTGTTTTGCCGGGGGATGGAGGTGCAAGGACAACGAAAATAATTGTGAGGAAGTAGGTAATCGGGTTAATGCGTACTTATATTCTATAGATGCGGAAACCCTGAAAGACAACCTCACGAGATCCCGGAGCTTCGAGGTCCTGTGCTATGTGTATCAATGTTGCTTCTTAAGATGGTTTCGGTTTCATTAGAGGAATTTGGTTGTCAACATAACCTGACGAAGTCCAGGTGACAATATATAAAACAGATCAGAGTGGGACACTTAACTAGTGAGAGCCAAGAATTGAATGTCCAACTTTGTCCTTCATCAACCTTCAGCTCTAGATATTAAAGAGTTACATTGCTAGAAAATCTGTGAAATAACTTCTGTGCTTATATCAATAGTTAAGTGGGAGGATTTAATAACTTATAGAAGTTAAAGCAGTTTTTAATCTTATAACTTGTACAGAAGTCTGTTTCTATTTAGTATTACTCTACGAAAGCCCCCCTTGGGGAATAAATGTACTTTCTTCTCTTGGTATTGTTATCGCCTTTCTCCTGGAGGGAGGTATACATTCATATAAATATGCTGACGATACTGGAGGGCGGGGTATGCAAACTTCGAAATACTGTTGAACGATCGCGGATACCGTCCAGCAGACGTCAAAAAGTGAGGATTCATAATCAGATAGCATAACAAGAGTCTGAGAATGAAGCGTAGCTTTTACAAAATGCCCCGAACAACAGCCTTAAAATCAAGTGGTGCTCCGCATCTAGCAGGAGATAGGCACAACCCTCTAATCTAGATGAATCCCTCATGCCAAGCTGATGTTGACAGCTCACGGTTTGCATTAGTTCTGAGTTCACGACTGTGCGGAGATGCAGCCCTGGTCTCTAAAACATTAACAATTCACATAGAGAAATAACAATGGGTTTATGCTCAGATGAGATGTTGTACTGTCTGTGGCGATACATGTTACTCTGATTCACGGGCCAGAAATTTGAATTTAAGAGCAGGTATGTGTGTTGGGATAAGTTTACTACAGTAATGAGTGATGATACTGCTTTGACCAATGATCGAATTGATGGTCCTGTTAGCTTCAATAGCTCAGTAGATGGACCCTCTGTACCGGGATACAGGCATATCTGCACACGCCTGGTCTTCTGTAATCTAATTAATCTTATCTTGGATAATTTCTATCGAGCGTATGAGAGATTAAATTCTCCTAATGCTATTCTCAGTGTCAACGAGAGCAGTCATAGCTACAAAAAAACATCTATAGAGTCTATACTCTTATAGAGGATTGAATTTTATATCTGAGCCAAACTTGAGCGACCCTTGCCGCGAGCCACGCCCAAGAAGCCTCGGGCAATGATTTGACCTGTCTCTCTTGGCTAGTTAACTATTGAACAAATATTTCCTTGGTCTCTGCATCTCTAGGCTACTGCCAGGGAATTTGACCAGGTGTAAGTCCATTAACGCAAGAAATAGAGTGATCATGGGATAGGCATACGTTGGTTTGCTTGAATAATAGGTACTGTTTCTTATGCCCACCATTATATCATCAGAACACACAGAAGACGTTCTCCATGATACTACTAGGTGTGAGCTAGTCAACAGGGTTTAATGTTAAGCACTAGGACGATATTAAAAAATACTCTATATCTTGTTAGAGGTCTCTTGTCACTACTCTGTATGTAACCGTGCCAGATTCTGTAGGGATACGTCTCTAGGACCTGTACATAACTTTGGTCTCTCATGATAAAATCTTTATATTTAAATGTCACTAGATGATTTTTTTCCTTCTTTTCTGTTATATGTTTAATTAATGGTGTAGCTTTGTCCAAGACCAGGAATCAGCAGAAAGGAATACATGAATTAACATTAGTGTCTTCTATCCTTCATATGATGCTATACATCATCAGGTCAGGAAGTGAACCACATCATAAAAACCTGTTTGCCGAGATTTTATCATTTGTATGTTTGACTTACCAGGCCTCTTAAAAAGGAATTTTCTTTCTTTCTTTTTTTTTTTGAGACAGAGTCTCCCTTTGTTGCCTAGGCTAGAGTGAGTGCCGTGGCGTCAGGCTAGCTCACAGCAACCTCAAACTCCTGGGCTCAAGCAATCCTGCTGCCTCAGCCTCCCAAGTAGCTGGGACTACAGGCATGCGCACCCATGCCCGGCTAATTTTTTCTATATAATTAGTTGGCCAATTTTTTTGTTTATAGTAGAGACGAGCCTCACCTTTCATCAGCTGGTTTCGAATCCTGACCCCTTTTTTTTTTTTACAAGTGTAAAACAAAGTTTATTGAGGAAGGACAAGATAAGTTTTACAGAGCAACATACTTGATGAACAGGCCACTTGTAAGAAGAGGCCAAAATATACTGTTCTTATTGGTGCTATTATGTTAATATGGTTCTTTTTCAAGAGTGTTTGTATTAAAATTCTTTCTTAAAATAGTATAATTTTAAATGGTAAAATCATAAGAGAATATTTGTTTCTAGTTTTCTAAATTTAGTTTCTGAAAAAGAAAAAAACCCTAAATTGGCTTATGTCAATAAAAACAAAGAAATAGACTTGAAATTGGAGAATTGAAGTGTGTGTGAGAAATTGGTTTGTGAGAGCCATCATTCAGACCCAGAGTGAGAAGGGATGGAAGGGGTGGGAGCCAAAGGAAATCAAGTTGTCTAGCCTTGGCCTAACTCCCTTCACCTTATAAGGAAGCCACTCATTTTCTAACAATTCAAGAGTCCATTTTGCCAAATTCTCCTCCCTGTAATCCCCACGTGTTTGTCCTACAGAATAATTTTTTTTTTGCCCCACAGAATAAATAAGATTGCAGAATACTTCAAGGCATCTCATATCCCCTCTTCTGATTGCTAAGTGTATTATTTCCTTAACTGTTCTTTGTGATATTTCTAGAACTCCTCATTTTATTAGTGATTTTTCTAAAATGCCACCGGAATGCCAAGATTCTCTCACATTGGGCCAGAATTTCACTAAAAGCAGTTTTCTTCCAGGTGCAGTGGCTCATACTTGTAATCCCAGCACTTTGGGAGGCTGAGGTGGGGAGGATTGCTTGAGGCCAGGAGTTTAAGACCAGACCGAGCAACCCCATCTCTACAAATTTTTTTTTTTTTTTTAAGTATTAGCTGGACGTAGTGGCATATACATGCCTGTAGTCCCAGCTACTTGGGAGACTGAGGCAGCAGGATTGCTTGAGCCCAGGAGTTTGAGGTTGCTGTGAGCTAGCCTGACGCCACGGCACTCACTCTAGCCTAGGCAACAAGGGGACTCTGTCTCAAAAAAAGAAAAGAAAAGAAAATTCCTTTTTAAGAGGGCCTGGTAAGTCAAACATACAAATGATAAAATCTCGGCAAACAGGTTTTTATGATGTGGTTCACTTCCTGACCTGATGATGGTATAGCATCATATGAAGGATAGAAGACACTAATGTTAATTCATGTATTCCTTTCTGCTGATTCCTGGTCTTTGGACAAAGCCTAACTCTTTCAGCCAATTGTCAGCTGAACAATCCCTAAATCCACTTACAACTTGCAAGCCCCCACTTGAGATGTCTTGCCTTAATCCCTAAACCCACCTATGACCTGTAAGCCCCTGCTTCGAGATGTACCATCTTTTCAAGCCAAACCAACGTATGCCTCCCATGTACTGGTTTATGGCTTCACCTGTAATCCCTGCTCCCTAAGATGCAGAAGACCAAAGAATAACCTAGCCAGAGAGAGTCAACTTGCCCGAGGCTTCTTGGGCGTGGCTCGCGGCAGGGTCCTCAAGTTTGGCTCAGAATAAATCTCCTTAAATTATTTTATAGAGTTTGACTTCTTCTCCGTTGACACTGGGCAACATTGGGTCTCTATAAAAAATTTAAAAATTAGCCAGGCGTGGTGGCATATGCCTGTAATCCCGGTTACAGAGGGTCACTGAGCCTGAAGCAAGGACCTCTTCGACATTGGTGCTCATCACCACGAGCCTTCCCCACACTCCGCCTCGGCCCGTGATCCTGTCCACCACATCTCGAGCAACCCATGTTTTCTCTTGTGGTTGTTTTGGGACAGGGTCTCGCTGTGTCGTCGGGGCTGCAGAGCAGCGGCTGAGGGTCCCCAGAGGGCGGGCTCCGGCTAGGCCGCGGCCGCCGGCCCTCCGACCCCATTCTTGCCGTCTGGACGTTCGGGCCCCTCAGCCCTGGCAACCCAAGGGAAAGACCCAGGGGGCTATTTTTAGAAACATCGACGCCCAAACCCTCTCCTGAGCAAAGCCGGCCCGGCCCGGCCTGGTTCGCTAGCGCCCCGACCTACCTCCTGCCGGGAGCGCGAAAGCCTCGCGTCCCCTCAGCGTTGCAGTCCGTGGTCCCGCTCTGCGCAGGCGCGGCGTGGTGCGCAGGCGCGATAGCCCGTCCCCGCCCCGCGCGCGACGCGCAGGCGCAGTCCGGCGCGGGGGCTGGCAGGACAGTGTAGTGGCGGACATGTCCGGGATCCGGGGTTTGTCGCGGCTGCTGGGCGCGCGGCGCCTGGCGCTGGCCCGGGCGGTGAGTCGGCCGCAGGGCGGGCGGGAGCCAGGGGCGCGCGGCAGGGGCAGCGGGACGGTCCCTAGTTGGTGCGGCGGCGGAAGCTGCACGCCGGTTCCCCGCGCCTCCGCCCCTGCCCGGGCTCGGAAGGGTCGGCGGGGCTGCGGCTGCGCCCGGTGAAGGTCACGACCCGTCCGCCGCCGTCCGAGCCTGTCAGGAGGCCGCGCGGGCTGAGCGGGCGACCTGCCTCAGCGCTGGTGCGTGGCCGGGGAAGGAGGCCGTGTCTGCGCCAAGGTCACGGGCGCGGGTACCCGGTGGTGCGCGAGGCTGGCGCGCCTCCGGGCGCCGCGGGCGACCTGGGAGCCGTGGAGGGTGGCGCCCGGGCCTGTCTGCCTGAGGCTGGCGAGAAGCGCAGATCTGCGCGGGTCCGTACCAGAGCCTCGGACCGCTAACGGCCTTTGTTTGGAGTTTTGTGTGCGGTGGCCCTTGTGCACAGTTTTTAAAAATCAGATGGAGAATTTGGCACACTGACCGGGCGGGGGCGCCAGGACCTGTGTTTTCCTGTGCAGTGTGGGGACAGTCGGAGAGGGGATGCAGACGTGCCTCCCTGTGCTGGACTCGGATTAGTGGAGGATGATGGTCGGGGTTTTGCTTTCCTGAGCCCTTGCGGTTTGAGCATGCGTAAGCGACATCTCCACAATGACCTCTGCACAATCGACCTTTTAGGGTTTTATTTAATAAAGCCAAGTTTCCAAGGTTTACTTCTTTAATTCTTTTAAATGAACTCGCCCACCCAGCAGCAACTTAATAATTTAATTACAAAGTAAATCTCACGAGGAACTAAGGCATACAACAATACTCATTTGAATTATGCTTGTAATTGTGGCTGCAGTTTTCTCTATCTTGAAATATAGTTGTTAAAAATTGTGTTGAGCTAAACGTGAGGCGTAGTCATAGAGCCATCCTGTCAACACCATAAAGCATTTTAAATGCTTTAATATGTTGCTGTGGTTGGTGTTTGCTGAGCTGAGATCCAGGCCCCCGCCCCTCCTTTAAGAGCTGCTTAGAGGGAGTCCACAAACAGGAAGTCAAGTCCTGGGTCAGTGGGACTTTTTATGGGAAGTGCTAGATTGGTAATTTATGGCTGGAGAAGAGTTAGTATGTATGTCCTCACCTCCCAGGTAGTGCCCAGTGTTCCTTCTGTAGACTACGACCCTTCCAGCCTACAAAACGGCCTTCATCCGCTGCCCATGCTTTGTGGATTCATCAGTGAAAACATTGTTGTCTTTTTCCCCCATGCTAGATTAGAAGAATTCCAGCTCAGAGCAAGAATAGAGTTCTGGCACAACATGTAAGGGTGTGTAAACTGTTCTTTCCTAATGGCTTGATTAGAAGTAATCTTTTTCAGGGGTTAATTGAATCAGCTTTTAGCTGCCAGCACTTAACATGTGTGCCTCATCTCTGAATCTTCACAGCCCTGTGATTAGGTACTTGTAAAAAAGAAGGTGTGTTGGAGATAGCAAAATTGAACCACATGTTAGGCCTACCTAGAGATGGTCTTCAGTTTTTTAAGTCTTTTTATCTTGATGAAGCTACAGAAGTTAATTTTGCCCCAAGGCATATATTTATTGGCATTTCTGAGAGGCTCTTTTTCCCCAAAGAATTGGAGTTTAAAAAAGAACAAGAGAATCAAATTAGCGGAAAAAGGAAAAACATTTGTGATAGCCAACTGAGAAATGTCCTTGTTAAATGGATGCTAAGGATAATTTCAGTAAAGTCCACAAAGAATTTTTTCTTTATATCATTTTGGTCAATTCTGTAGAGTTTTCAGTTCATTCTGTATTTACGGCTGCTTTCAAGTTACAAGCTTCTCAGACTTACTTTGCCATTTTTTTCGTGGACGAGGTTCTAGGGCCCCAAGAGAGGGGCCCTGGAAGTCGCCATAGCTTCTTTTTGTGGTCCCAGTGCACTGACACAGTTTGCAAACTGTTCTAAAGCAGTTTAATGCAAAGGAAAAGTAAACCCCAAGACCTTAAATAATTGTTGGTTAACTGCTCACTTCAAGTGAGAGATTTTTCAAACCCCTTACCGTGAATATCCAAAATATTGTTCTAGGATAAATCAATTTCTTTGAATGGATTGTTCTGAGTATGTTTTAATGGCATATCTAGAAGCACATTATTTAGGGGATTATAGTGGTATTGTTTGCTTCTTGGGATGATTATAATAACAATGACTTTTAGTTCTGCATTCTGTGTAATGTTTTCCTGGTTCATTTGAAACTGTGACCTGATTTTGATATATAACCTGGATATTAATCTTAGTTTGGAGTCTTATAGATTTTTCTCAAGTATCTTTAGATAGTGGGAAGTCCAGGATGTGAAGTAACATTGAAACCTTCAGTGGCATTCTTCCGGACCAGGGCTCATAACGTGTGCTTGATAATCGTGTGAACTGTATTTTAAGCATCACTATTTTAAAAATAATAAACATGAAATTTTTTTTTTTTTTTTTGAACAGAGTCTCACTCTGTTGCCCAGGCTAGAGTGAGTGCCGTGGCGTCAGCCTAGCTCACGGCAACCTCAAACTCCTGGCTCAAGCAATCCTTCTGCCTCAGCCTCCCAAGTAGCTGGGACTACAGGCATGTGCCACCATGCCAGGCTAATTTTTTCTATATATATTAGTTGGCCAATTAATTTCTTTCTATTTATAGTAGAGACGGGGTCTCCCTCTTGCTCAGGCTGGTTTCAAACTCCTGACCTCCAGCAATCCGCCCGCCTCGGCCTCCAGAGAGCTAGGATTACAGGCGTGAGCCACCGCGCCGGCCTAACATGAAAATTTTTAATGAAAAAAATTACACATAGAAGGCCTTGTAAATGAAGAGGAATAGACCACTCCATTCCCCAGTAGAAGCCTTCCCAGTAGAAGCCCATTCCCCAGTAGAAGCCATGCTGAGCTGTTTCTGATACTGGTCCCTGGTATTTAGTGCCCTTTCTTTAGCTGCTATGCTGTTGCATTTTTATTATTTTTGGACATCAACTTCTTGCCCGGCAGAGGGGGATTTATTATAGTTCCCTTAAACCCACTACTTCCCTTTTGTCTTCCAGTATAGTTATAAATCCATTTAAGGCCCTTTATTAGCTGCTTTTCTAATTGTATAGATTGTACCTAACAATTATTCTTGTTCATGTTTTATAGGTGTATTTTATTAGATGAGGACTCCCCATGTTGCTGGAGTGAGGATATTAGTATCTCTACCCTTCACTTTTTCCCTTCTACTTCCTAATTAAGTCATCTGAACTTGTATGTTATTAAACAAGGTCTAGGTATTAATGTTAGGTAGATTTCCTCATTCTTTTTCTTCTTTTTTTTCCCTGAGACAGAGTCTCACTCTGTTGCCCGGGCTAGAGTGCCGTGGTGTCAGCCTAGCTCACAGCAACCTCAAACTCCTGGGTTCAAACAAACCTCCTGCCTCAGCCTTCCTGAGTAGCTGGGACGACAGGCATGCGTCACCATGGCCAGCTAATTTTTCTATATTAAGTTGTCCAGCTAATTTCTATTTTTAGCAGAGACGGGGGCTCGCTCTTGCTCAAGCTGGTCTCACACTCCTGACCTCGAGCAATCCTCCTGCCTCAGCCTCTGAGTGTTAGAGTTACAGGTGTGAGCCACCATGCCCAGCCTCTTTTTTTTTTTTACAAGTGTAAAACAAAGTTTATTGAGGAAGGACAAGATAAGTTTTACAGAGCAACATACTTGATGAACAGGCCACTTGTAAGAAGAGGCCAAAATATACTGTTCTTATTGGTGCTATTATGTTAATATGGTTCTTTTTCAAGAGTGTTTGTATTAAAATTCTTTCTTAAAATAGTATAATTTTAAATGGTAAAATCATAAGAGAATATTTGTTTCTAGTTTTCTAAATTTAGTTTCTGAAAAAGAAAAAAACCCTAAATTGGCTTATGTCAATAAAAACAAAGAAATAGACTTGAAATTGGAGAATTGAAGTGTGTGTGAGAAATTGGTTTGTGAGAGCCATCATTCAGACCCAGAGTGAGAAGGGATGGAAGGGGTGGGAGCCAAAGGAAATCAAGTTGTCTAGCCTTGGCCTAACTCCCTTCACCTTATAAGGAAGCCACTCATTTTCTAACAATTCAAGAGTCCATTTTGCCAAATTCCTCCCTGTAATCCCCACGTGTTTGTCCTACAGAATAATTTTTTTTTTGCCCCACAGAATAAATAAGATTGCAGAATACTTCAAGGCATCTCATATCCCCTCTTCTGATTGCTAAGTGTATTATTTCCTTAACTGTTCTTTGTGATATTTCTAGAACTCCTCATTTTATTAGTGATTTTTCTAAAATGCCACTTGAATGCCAAGATTCTCTCACATTGGGCCAGAATTTCACTAAAAGCAGTTTTCTTCCAGGTGCAGTGGCTCATACTTGTAATCCCAGCACTTTGGGAGGCTGAGGTGGGGAGGATTGCTTGAGGCCAGGAGTTTAAGACCAGACCGAGCAACCCCATCTCTACAAAATTTTTTTTTTTTTAAGTATTAGCTGGACGTAGTGGCATATACCTGTAGTCCCAGCTACTTGGGAGGCTGAAGCAGGAGGATTGCTTGAACCTGGGAATTCGTGGCTGCAGTGACCTATGATTATGCCACTGCACCCCAGCCTGGACTACAGAGCAAGACCCTGTCTCAAAAGGGGGGGGGCAGTTTTTTTGTGTAAACGTTTCTAAGATGGGACGAGTTGTAGAGGTTGGCCAGGGGCAGCCAGGCAGAGGGAACAGCACCAGGGCCTGACCACAGAGTGGTTGAAGTCCTCCTGTGTGTAATGAAGGGTGACATCATTTATCTCTCTGAGCTTTTATTATTCCAGAACACAGATCTGATACACTGCTCAGTGCCTTTTCCACTAACCACAGATGTTTGGAGCTCCAGAGTGAAAAGGGCTATGATGAAGCCAGTTAAAATGCTTCATTATTTACAAAACTGCCACGTACAGTAACATAATATAGCCTTCCCACCCTCCACTCAGTAGCGTAATTAGGATTTTACAGAGTAAGTGCTTTTTCCATGTGTACCTTGAGTCAGTGAATATCCTGTTTGGAAATGAGCTGCATCCAAATGGGACTTTCCTGGAGTCCGAGTCAGAGTGGAGAGGCGCTGTTGGGGCTGAGCTCCTGCTGCTGGCTCTGCCCTTTGGGTTCCGGGCAGGTGTTCGGTATGAGCAGGATCACCTGGGCACAGGAGATTGTTAACAGTTTACCAGGAGAAGTTGTAATTACAATTCCTCCCACAGTGTTTGCTAACCCCTCAGTCTGTGTCTCAGCAGGGGCCGGCGGCCTTCCAAACAGGAACCCGCGGGTTTCACTTCACTGTCGATGGGAACAAAAGAGCATCTGCTAAAGTTTCAGACTCTGTAAGTTTTGGTTTTTCGTTCCATTATAATGTTTTTTTCTGCTTAGAGGGGTAATGATCTATACCAGTTTGTTTTAATGTATTTTAACAGACCTATTTAAAGAGAAAAGATTCTCACTGGGCATCCAGTACAAACTCAGATTATTTTTAGTGTAGTAATACTTAATTGTGGCGTAAATATGAACATAAATATTAACGTTTTTGCTTATAGCTTTTATGTAGCTATAAACTGGATTTAAATTTAAATAAAGTAAAGCAACACATGGTTAAAATAGAAATGAGCAGTGTTTGATGTGGTGGGCCTAATCGGGTAGGACCAGGCACAGGTTCGTCCGTATTCAGCGTGCCTGTGCTGCTTTGCTAAACAGGTTTGCTGACAGGTTCTTTCCTCGTAATCTCAAAGTTGTTAATACTACCTGGCACATTCTCGGTCATAAAAAAGACGTGGCCCTGCAGTAGAGTTGTCCTCAATTCTAAGGTTGTTGCCCAGACGAACCAGACATGCTTCTGTAAATGAAAACAACGTTCTGATATTTTCATGAGAAACTTGCAGATCACAGGTGGGGGAACATTATCCATGCTACGTTATAAGCTTAGATTTGTTTAGCATATGTTATACGGGTAGGAACATAAAAAGAGAAGATAAATAAAAAGGACAGTTGGAAAGAAAAACTGTATTTAGAACGGGTGTTTTGATTCATGTTGCTGCTTTCCTTTGTGTCTGCAGTTCCCTGCTTTGGCAAACAACTGACAGATTGGGGTCTTCATGGTCGAGCTTTCTGGGAAATAGATGTTTTGAGGGTGTATGCCTCTGAATTTTCAGCTGAATTTTCACTCCCCTCAGCCCCAGGATGGGGCGTGTGCACAGCAGTTGCGCCTTCATCTTCTTCAAGCTGTTTTACCAGAACCACAGTCTTCGCGTTTGGCATTGTTGAATGTGTGATTGACAGGTGAATTTCTCTTTCCCAGATTTCTGCTCAGTATCCGGTGGTGGATCATGAATTTGATGCAGTGGTGGTAGGCGCTGGAGGGGCAGGCTTGCGTGCTGCTTTTGGCCTTTCTGAGGCAGGATTTAATACAGCATGCGTCACAAAGCTCTTTCCTACCAGGTCTCACACCGTCGCAGCACAGGTAAGAGAAAGGTGCTGCTGATGCTTTCACTGTGTCCAAAGTCCTACGTGGTCTAGTTCTGCCTAGACAGCCTCCTTCCTCCTTCCCATGCTGTGCCTACCTGGTTCACTCGCACTCTGGGGCCTCTGCTGGGTCCTCTTCAGTGGAGCCGTGTAGGACTGGAGCCCTGCCTCACTCTTGTTGGTGCCTTAGTTACACTTGGGTCTTCTCTGACCATCCTGCCTAGTGCCCCTCCCACCATGCCTTAATAAGAAAGAGATTATCTAAAGAAGAGGAATCAAAATTTAGGTTGGAGAAGACAAACATGAGTTTCATTTGTCCCACTGCCATGTTCTGTGCCTCTGAGGTATAAGATGGAGTGGCGGCCACACACAGAGGGAAGTGGGGGTGCAGGGGAGAGTGGAGCTTATTGGCAGGAAGCATGTCTCGTCTTTAACACATTCCCATGAATACCACTGGGAGTGTTTTGTAATATGATAAAATGACCTCAATAGATTTGAGGTATGTTAAGTAGCCAGCATATTTTGTGTGTCCTTTGACTCCTCCAAACAGCCCCTTGAGGAGTTCACTCATCTTCACTGCACAGATCAGGAGACCGAGACAAAGTGGGTTCTGTCCCTCCCCTAGTCAGGGAGGAGCTGTGACTGGGCACCAGCATGCCTGAGGTCAGCCCTCTGGGAGTTAACACACACGTAGTTGGCTTCCTCTGAGTCCGGTCCTGGGGAGGAGATGGGGGATGCACTGGGCTCCCGCGTGCTGCTTGTAAGGAGTGCTTGGTGTTTGCAGGGCGGGATCAATGCTGCTCTGGGAAACATGGAAGAGGACAACTGGAGGTGGCATTTCTACGACACCGTGAAGGGCTCCGACTGGCTGGGGGATCAGGACGCCATCCACTACATGACAGAGCAGGCCCCTGCCTCTGTGGTCGAGGTGAGGCGTGGGAAGCTCACGGGTCCTCTTGTAGTCTGTTGCTAATGCAGAGGGAGTCCTAGAGAGAACTGAAGAGGTTGAGGCAGGTGTGCCCAACTGAAAGAATGGTAATGAACTAAACTAGCAAGGGAAATCTTTTTCTGTCATTAACTACCGTACATTTAACAAGGAAGCTTTTCTGAAATGTCAGCATTTTATAGAACGTATTCCTTTTGGTTTTGCAGATTTGGATTAAAATCGTGTAGCATAAATTAGCTTAACTCCTTTAAGGTTTTTGTTTGTTTTTGTTTCACAGCTAGAAAATTATGGCATGCCCTTCAGCAGAACTGAAGATGGGAAGATTTATCAGCGTGCATTTGGTGGACAGAGCCTTAAGTTTGGAAAGGGCGGGCAGGCCCATCGGTGCTGCTGTGTGGCTGATCGGACTGGGCACTCGCTGCTGCACACCTTGTACGGAAGGGTGAGGCCACCTTGGGTGCATATAAAAATACTAAAAGGGTGCTCTGGAAAGCTCTCTCTAAGGCAGTGTGTTCGTTCCTGCATCTGTTGTGGAAAATTGAACTGAGGATCGTTATGTGCCAGGTTTGAACTTGGGATTTGTCACACTCTGTGTATAAGAACAGAGCAAATATTTTAAGGCTCTTTCATAACTTCTGCATTCCTGAACTGATTTGTTTTAATGCTTAACTGTTAAAACTGGACGAAGACTTGAGGAATAGTGATCACTGTGTGATCAGGGCCAACTTTGGCATGGCCAGACAATTAATGTTCTGAGCAGTATTGATTCAGAGGAATCAGTATTCGGAACTCCGTTGTTTGCAGATAAATGTGGACAGATCCGCTAATTTACAAGTGTCAGGACCCCAGTGTTCCCTTCTGGCTGAGTGCCTTGACAACTGTCTGCTGGGACCTGCCATCCCTCAGAGGAGCTGTCACATGGGGAGTTGGCCAGGCTTATGGGAGCCGCTTGCATTGGCCCAGGGGACCCTCAGAGCCAGGCCCAGTGCTGGTCTTTTCTGCGGTGGCGGAAAGATGCTTATCTGCATTGTCCACTTTGGTAGCCAGCAACCATCTGGGGCCATTGCAGATGTGGCCAGCGTGACTGAAGAGCTGGATGGTTTGTTTTGTTTTGATTAATTAAATGGTTACGTGCAGCCAGTAGCTCCCATCTGGGCCATGACCCCACAGTCTGAGCCTCAGTCTGGTGCTAAACTCTAAGGGTGATTCAGCGCTGCGTGCAGCCACAAGACAGTCTGGTTTATGGAAATAGGAACCGTGTTACCAAAGTTCGAGTAATAAAGATCCTCTGCTGCATTCTCTTCTCTGGCATGTGTTGACACATGTGCTTCATGTGTGTCGTTTGTGCTGCCCAGTGTGGAAGCCCTCTCGTGCCCTTGCACAGGCCATCGGCACCGTTGCTGGCCGTGAATTTACCTGGTCCATTTGTTAACAGAATGGAATTGAGTTCTTTAACCTGATCACATGAACAGTATCACTTTAAGTGTTGGCTTAACATGTACTCTTTTTGTTTTTAGTCCCTGCGATATGACACCAGCTATTTTGTGGAGTATTTTGCCTTGGATCTCCTGATGGAAAATGGAGAGTGCTGTGGTGTTATTGCACTGTGCATAGAAGACGGGTCCATACATCGCATAAGAGCAAAGAACACCGTTATCGCTACTGGGTAGGAATATCATTTTTTGCCCCATTGTAGCGATGGGGTCTCGCTGTTTCCCATGCTGGTCTCAAATCCCTGGCCTCATGTGATCCTCCCTCCTCGGCCTCCAAAGTTGTTGGGATTACAGGCGTGAGCCATCATACCTGGCCAGGAATCTAATTTTCATTTTATTTCTTTATAAAAATGAAGAACTTCCATTTAGAGTTTCTTTATTCTAGTGAAAATAGAGGCGTTGTAGAGTAATGGTTCAGACACAGGCCTCGACATAACTTCGTGAGGGTTGTGGTCTTCCTGGCTTTGGTTCCTCACCTATAAGGGGGTGACAGTGGCACCTGCCCTCAGGAGATGGCAGTGGCTGCCGTTCGGTCAAGGCCAGGAGGATCCCTGAGGGTCGTAGAGTTTATTGCTCCTGGTTGTAGATGAGGAAACTTGGGCCTGGAGGGTCACATGGGGTTTTCTGGTATAACTTTCCTTGCTTTAATGGATTCTGATTCTTAGAATAGATAATTTCTATTTCTTCACATGATGAAAATGAGTAAATTTCATTTGTACACTGTCAGTTTGTTGCTTTAGCCATTTTAAAAAACTAAAGAAAGTTTTTGTGCAACAAAGGAAACAATCAGCAAAACTACAGACTGGGAGAAAATATTTGCAAACCATATATCTGATAGGGAATTAATATCTGAAATATGTAAGGAACTCAAACAACTCAATAGCAAAAACAACCACCCAATTAAAAATGGGCAAAGGACTTGAATAGGCATTTTTCCAAAGAAGACATCCAAGTGGCCAGGCGGTGTATGAAAGAAGGCCCTTTCTCACTAATCGCTGGGGAAAGGCAGCTGAAACCCACGTGAGATACCACTTCACCCCAGTCAGAATGGCTGTTGCCAGAAAGACGAGATGACAAGTGCTGGTCAGGATGTGGATTAAAAAAAAAAAGGTAACCTCATACACTGGTAGGAATGTAAATTAGTACAACCATTATGGAAAACAGTATGGAGATTCCTGAAAAAATTAAAAATAAAACTGCTATATCATCCAGCAATCCCATTTCTTGGTATGAAGTCAGTAGCTCAAGGAGACATCTGCACTTCCATGTCCATTGCAGCATTATGCACAGTAGCCAAGGTCCGGAAGCAGCCTAAATGTCAGCGTCTGAAGAACATGTGGTGTGTAGACACCATGGATGTTAGTGACAGCATGGCGAACCTGGAGGGCAGTTGTTAAATAAACCAGGCACAGAAAGACAAACACTGCTTGATGTCACAATGTCACTTACACATGGAGTCTAAAAAAGTCAAACTTGTAAAAACAGAATAGAGCAGTGGTTGTCAGGGGCTAGAGGGGTGTAGATTGGGGAGATGTTGGTTAAAGGTCCATCTCAGTTACAAGATGAAGTTCTGAAGATCTAATATACAGCATGGTGGCTATAGTTAATAATAACACGTATACTTAAAATTTGCTAAGAGAGTAGATATTACGTGTCTGCATCACAAAAAGGAAATTATGTGAGGTGGTGGGTATGCTAATTAACATGATTATGGCGATCAGTTCACATTGTATACTTAAATTGTCACATCATACACCTTAAATATCTATAATTTTAATTTGTCAAACATAACCACAGTGAAGCTGGGAAAACAATAAGAAAATCCATAAAAGTTTTCAAATTTTTATTATAAAAGTAATATATGTCAGGGAAACCCGATAAATAGCACAAAGCTAAAGTATACTCTGGGAGGTAGAGGCGGGCAGATTGCTCGAGGTCAGGAGTTTGAAACCAGCCTGAGCAAGAGCGAGACCCCGTCTCTACTATAAATAGAAAGAAATTAATTGGACAGCTAATATACATAGAAAAAATTAGCCAGGCATGGTGGCACATGCCTGTAGTCCCAGCTACTCAGAGGCTGAGGCAGAAGGATCACTTGAGCCCAGGAGTTTGAGGTTGCTGTGAGCTAGGCTGACGCCACGACACTCACTCTAGCCTGGGCAACAAAGCAAGACTGTCTCAAAATGAATAAATAAATAAAATACAGATGACAGTCCCTTCTGTCCCCCAGGCCTGTCCCCCTTGCCCAGGGTAGCAGCCCCTCCGAGTTGCGCCTGCACGTGTGTGGGGGCTGGGGTGTGTCGCACCAGATGCCCAGGGCTGCTCTGGCCATTCTGTGGTCGTGTCGGATGGGAGGTCCCGACGTGGCCACTGTGTAGTAGTCACTGCTGTTTGCCGTTTCCAGAGGCTACGGGCGCACCTACTTCAGCTGCACATCGGCCCACACCACCACTGGTGACGGCACGGCCATGATCACCAGGGCAGGCCTCCCCTGCCAGGACCTGGAGTTCGTTCAGTTCCACCCCACAGGTAGGACAGGACCCTTGCCTGGCAGGGGGCTCCTTTGTGTCTTGTAAACATGCAGTGCCTACTCAGTGCTCCTCTGTGGTTTCCCGTGCTAGCAGTCTTTTCATCATCAGATCTTTCAGTCTGTCAGGTCATTTCCTCAAGGGGAGTTCCCTGGTTCCCGCGGGACGGGGTAGGTGCTGTCTGTGTGTTCATCAGTAGCTCTAGCCTTGCCTTGGTGGCGCTTACCCTGTGCTAGAGCAGCGACTGTTCAGTGTCCCTCCTCTGGGCTAGGCTGTTGGCTCTTTGGGGTGGGGCAGTCTGTCTCGTTGACCTCTGTGCTGTGCCCAGCACTTGGTGGCCGACCCTGTTTGCCAAGTGCCCGCAGGCTGGGTAGGGGATCTGACTGGCGCAGTGCCGTAGGCACACTCAGTCTCATGGGGGAGAGGACCGAGTTTACCTGGGAACGGGGTGTGAAGGCAGCACATAGCCGAGGTAGGACTCCTTGTCACGGGTGGGCCCTGGGCCAGCTCATCGGACAGTTGGTGCAATTGAGGGATTTGATGACATTAACACAGAAATGGTAGTTAAAGTCCTGTTTGGGGGGTGTTTTCCAGAAATGAACCGCAGAGAGAGACACACACATCCCTACCTGCCTCTCATCTGAGGTGACTGTTCTGGGTTCTTTGTGTGTTGCTTTTCTGACCTGTGGACTGAGGACACTCCCTGTGGAATACTCAAGAACCAGGGCTTTTTTTCCTCTTTGCTCTGTCAGTACATTCTTTCTGGTTCCTAGCGGGGATAGAAAATAAAAAATGTATTTGTTGACGATTTTTTTTTTTTTTTTGAGATGGGATCTTGCTCTGTGGCCCAGGCTAGATTGCAGTTACAGCTCACTGCAGCCTCAAACTCCTAGGTTCCAGTGATCCTCCCGAGCAGCTGGGACTATGGGCACATGGTACCAAGCCCAACTAATTTTTTAATTTTTTGTGGAGATGGGGTCTCACTGTGTTGCCCAGGCTGGCTCTCAAACTCTTGGCCTCAAGCAATCCTGTCGCCTCAAGCCTCCCAAAGTGCTGGGATTACAGGTGTGAGTCACTGCATCTGGCCTATTGGTTCTTTTTATTACTGTTCTTATCCGATAAAATGCCACTGAGCATCTGAATTCCATCTGTAATATATTTAGGGCTCCATTTCTGATGTTTCCTTTCCAATGTATGAGGAATAAACCACCAAAAAAAGTCATTGAAACTAGCAAAACTGGAATGCAGATGAAATGCAAGAATTTAATTCTTTTAAAAGCAAGATAATTGAGTGGGGAGGGGGGACATGGGCAATATATGTAACCTTAACACTTGTATCCCCACAATACGCGAAAATAAATAAATAAAAGCAAGATAACCCTTTTGGTAGTGTACTAATGAAAGTACTAGCTTTTGAATTATAATTTGGTCTCCATTGTTGAAATTCAAGAGCTTGGCATTTCTTGTTTTTCGTGACATTGAGGGACACAGGGCCATGGTTGAGAGCACATGTTGCTCAGGTTTGAATGTGGTTTCTGTGTTCTGCTGCATGAACTTGGATGGATCACTGAGCTTTAATTTATCTCTGAGAATGGGGGTTGTGTTACCTGGGGTTGTCGTAAAGCGTATGCAAGTTAGTATCTGTAAAGCAGGTAGAACCGTCCTTAGCAAGTACTAATGTAAGTACTAACTATAGCAGTATTAAGCATCGTGCTTGCTATCTGGATACTTTAGATACGAATTCTCTAAGCTGGTTATTCTTAACCTAAACCTGTTACCACAATATCATGGTGCAAAAGAATGTTCAACAAAAACAAAACTTGATACATTTAGCACATCAGAGTATTGAACAGAGCCTCGTTCCCTTCCCATGGCAGTCCTCCCTGCTCCCTGGGGGGAACCAGTCTGCCCAGACCCGATACCCACACTTCCTACTGCTCACGTTTTCTCTTTCTCATTCAGTTTTTTGTGTAATGCCCTTTACATACCCTTTTCCTGTCTGCCCCTAAAAATGTCTTGAAGAAATATGCATTTGAAATATAGACATAGTCTTCATTATTTATAAGTATGTATTTTATTTTATTTTTTTCCAGGCATCTACGGTGCTGGGTGTCTCATCACAGAAGGGTGCCGTGGAGAGGGAGGCATTCTCATTAACAGCCAGGGCGAGCGGTTCATGGAGCGCTATGCCCCTGTTGCGAAGGACTTGGCGTCTAGAGATGTTGTGTCTCGATCAATGACTCTGGAAATCCGTGAAGGAAGGTCTGTGGGATTTGCTTCTAGAGATGTCTGAGTGGTGCCTGTGAGCCCTCGCACCCACTGCTCCATTGCTCCCTTTGGTGACTGTCGCATTTGCGTTTTAATGCCCAGCCTGGGGTCACTTCCGTGCGACCTTCAGCACCTCTCGCCCCGGCCTTAGTAGCTCCCATGAACAGTTAGCTCTGTTACTTGCTGGCTGTTGTCTGTTAGTTTGTGTTACTTTTCTTAAGAGCCACATTTTGAGAATTTTAGCTGGTTTAGTGTAAATCTTTCTCAAATCTGGAGCATAATTTGTCCTTGTGGGTGAGCGTGTGGTGGACACTGGGCACGGGAGGGAGAGACACACACACCCAGCCCGGAGTCGGCGCGCGGGCCCTGGGTGCTGGGCTGCGTGTCGTGCTCACGGTGCCCCAGCTGCTCTCTCTGTGTGGGGATCGTTGTCTTTCAGTCGAGCGACTTGAGGCTCTTCTAGCGCAGGACGCTGCTCTTTAATACAGATTCTTGTTAAATATCTGCTGGTGTGGCCTGTAGCAGTTTTACATGTTTATGTGAAAAAAAAGAAGTCATGGTTTTTAGAGCACAGTCGTCCCTCTGTATCCATGGGTGCCACGTCTGTGGATTCAGCCAGCCAGGGTTGAAATAAAACTGCATCCTTACTGAACACTCACAGACCATCCTTCTTCACTGTCCCTGGACAAAGCAATCTAACAGCTGTTTGTGTAGCAGTTACGTTGTATTAGGTATCGTAAGGGATCTAGAGATGATTGAGAGTGCAGGAGGATTTGCACAGGTTACATGCAAATACTGTTCTGTGTCAGGGACCGAGCATCTGCTGCGGGTTTGGGAACCCACAGGTCCTAGAACCAATTCCTCATGGGCACAGAAGGTAACTGTTTGGCATGGAGAACCTCCTAAGGCATCTACGAGGAAAATGTAGCAGATACGGCCCCTAAGACTGGAGAGTGAGTCCAGCGAGGGCAGGGTTGTCCCTGCCCTATGGGAGGTGCCGAGAAAAGATGTGACGTCACTGTAAACAGAGGGCAGAATCTTTTCAGTATCAAAAACGTTGAAACTTACATGCTTCAATGATTTTGTATTCTCAGGGCTTCTGTAGTTACCAATCTTTGCCTTATGATATGATGTTCTCTTTTCCCAGAGGCTGTGGCCCCGAGAAAGATCACGTCTACCTGCAGCTGCACCACCTGCCCCCTGAGCAGCTGGCCATGCGCCTGCCTGGCATTTCAGAGACGGCCATGATCTTTGCCGGCGTGGACGTCACCAAGGAGCCGATCCCTGTGCTCCCCACTGTGCACTACAACATGGGCGGCATCCCCACCAACCACAAGGGGCAGGTGACCGTGCCAGGCCCTCGCAGTTGTCCCTGTAGATCTTAGAGGAGAAGACAGATGCTTTCTTCAAAAAAGTACTGTGTTATTTAATAGATTGCACTTGCTTTAAATTACCGGTGCTATTACTGGAGCGGGGGAGGGATGCTGATAATAGTCCAGTTTACATTTACTCCTTAGTAGCAATTCATTATTAATAATTTCTTAATTTCTTCTTAGTAAATAGTTATATCATTTGCAATTTTTTCTATTTATAGTTACTCTCCTATGTGATCTCATTATTTTTTAACGATCTTGTAAATCAGGTGGTCTTTACAATCATAGCCTGTCATTCAGTCAGTCTGTTTTGGTCTCATCAGGCGAGGTGGGTGGGAATTGCTACTCTCTGCATAGGTGAGCAGTGGATGGAAGAGTCTGCAGTAGTCCCCTCAGTCTCACACCCTCCCCCACTTGTGCTGCTCCCCAGTCTGAGCCCGGTCAGAGTCAGGCACAGAGGGGCAGCTGAGTCAGAGGTGGCAGGCAAGGTCCTAAGGAACACTGGATGTGAGGGGAGGTCGTAGATGCTGGCACTGGGGGTCCTTTGACCTACTAGGCACGGTGAGCGTTCAGGGGCAGAGGGGGAAGCGGAGGACACCTTCTGAGGGTTCCCTCTGAGGCCTTCACTTCTTCCCCTTCCCTGACCTGCCTGCGGCACAGACACCCTGTTGGGAGAAGTGGGCCTGTGGAAACATAGGCATCTTGATGTGTCATCTGAAATCTTATGTCCCACAGGTCCTGAAGCACGTGAACGGCCAGGATCAGGTTGTGCCCGGCCTGTATGCCTGCGGGGAGGCCGCCTGTGCCTCCGTGCATGGCGCCAATAGGCTCGGCGCCAACTCGCTCCTGGACCTGGTCGTCTTTGGCCGGGCGTGTGCCCTGAGCATCGCAGAGTCCTGCAGGCCTGGTACGTGCTTTCTGCAGGAACTGGGCTGTTCCGAAGCAAAGGGTTGGAGGTGAGGGGTTACGAGGTCTGGATGTGGTGAAATGAGCACAGGGGTTATCCAGAGGTCATCTGGGTTCTTCCCTAGGAAGTGAGGAAACAGAAAAAGGCAAGATGTATAGGGGGTGTTGAAACTGGATTGTTGACTGGGTAGGGGTCCTCACAGTTGAGAAGGTAAATTTTGGGGGTTACATTTTGTTTTTTCTAGTCATTATGTTCTGCTTAGAAAAGGCACTATTAGGAAATTATTATTTTAAAGGGAAGTTTATTACATATGACTTGCCTGAAATAAATTACTTATTTGCAATACTTTAAACAGTAGGCTTAAATGAATATATAACTTCTTGTTACTTAGAAAAACAATTTAGGCCATTCTAAGAGCAAAGTATAAATAATCTTTATTAAAGGAAAAGGGACAAAATAAAAGGCTGGATTGTGGTGCCCACCGTTAGTGATAGAATGGATTTCAGTGGGTGGTTTTCTTACGGTAGCTTAAAATAACAAGCAGGAGAGAAAGCACCATATGCTGGAATTGAGAGCCACTTACATACACTGAAAACAGAACAGTTACCATTGTTCCAGCCTTCTAGAAGGTCTCCACAGCTGGTATCCTGCCTCACTTACTCAGAATAACCAAGTGAGGGGGTGAGGCACAGGTGGGACCCCAGGCCCACATTCTTCCCATCATGTGTCACTCGTGTCAACAATTTATACACTGCTGTTTTTATAGAACAAAAGCTTTTGTACAGATCGAAGTGATGGCACAGAAACTGGTGCAGTAGTTTTAACCTACTAGTTAAATGTACCCCCTTTTATGTTTGTGGTGAGAAAGATGCAGATAATAAAAAGGGCAAGTTACATTTCAGACACTGTCTCTTCCTGGACACGCACGCAGCTCGGGAGGCTGGCGCACGCAGAGGCGGTGCCTTGTCCCGAGTCGGCGTGGTCAGCCGCAGAGACAGTGCTGTCTGTCTCTCCTGCCGCCACAAGCCGAGCTCGTCTCACTCGCTGGCCCTGTATCCATAGCAGTGAGAGCTGGTGCCCCTCCTCTCAGGGCAAAGCAGAGATTTTAGGGTGCCCTTTCTTTTAACATGAGAAGAAGTTTGATAAGAATACCTTGCACTTTTATATCTGAGGAATCTATAAACACTTTTAAAACTTTTTTTTTTTTTTTGAGACAGAGTCTGGCTTTGTTGCCCAGGCTAGAGTGAGTGCTGTGGTGTCAGCCTAGCTCACAGCAACCTCAGACTCCTGGGCTCAAGCAATCCTGCTGCCTCAGCCTCCCAAATAGCTGGGACTGCAGGCATGCACCAACATGCCCGGCTAATTTTTTCTCTATATATTAGTTGGCCAATTAGTTTCTTTCTATTTATAGTAGAGATGGGGTCTTGCTCTTGCTCAGGCTGGTTTCGAACTCCTGACCTTGAGCAATCCGTCCGCCTCGGCCTCCCAGAGTGCTAGGGATACAGGCGTGAGCCACCGCACCCGGCCTAAAACTTTTTTACTCAGAAATAAGAAGGAGCAAACTACTCACACATCTCATGCAGTGTGCTATGGAGACAGAGTCGAAAGGCCCACACGCGTGTGGTTGTATTTATGTGACATTCTGGAAATGGAAAAAACTGCAGTGAGGAAAGTGGGTTGGTGGTTGCCTAGGCTATGTCCTGATTGCATGGGCACTTAACATAGCTCTGTGCTTGTCAAAACCTGAAAAACCCTACACTGAAAATTGTGAATTTATTTTATTGTCTCTTAATTATGCTTTAATTTTTTTAAATGAGAAGAAAGGAAAAAATGTTCGTACCCACTTCCCCCAAAATGTAAATTTTTTAAACATTTAAAAAGTTCAGGCCAGGCCCCGTGGCTCATGCCTGTAATCCTAGCACTCTGGGAGGCTGAGGCGGGAAGATCGCTCAAGGTCAGGAGTTCGAAACCAGCCTGAGCAAGAGCAAGACCCCATCTCTACTAACAATAGAAAGAAATTAATTGGCCAACTAAAAATATATAGAAAAAATTAGCCGGGCATGGTGGCGCATGCTTGTAGTCCCAGCTACTCGGGAAGACTGAGGCAGGAGGATTGCCTGAGCCCAGGAGTTTGAGGTTGCTGTGAGCTAGGCTGATGCCACAGCACTCTAGCCGAGCAACAGAGTGAGACTGTCTCCAAAATAAATAAATAAATAATAAAAAAATAAAAAGTTCAGTCCTATATCATCTATTGATTAGGTTAAAAAAAAGAAAAGCCAACAAATTTTAAATCTTACTATATATTCTGATTGTGGTAGGTGGTTATATGCATCTATCCATGTGTTAAAATTTATAGAAATGTACCAAAAGAAAAATAGTCGTTTTTACTGAATGTTCAGTTTTTAGAACGTTATAAACAGAAGGAAAGGAAACAGCCTTCCTAGAAGCACTTGGCAGGACTTGAGAGCAGTCAGCGTCCTCATGCCTTAAGTCAGGTGGGCCAGGGGCATGTGACTGTGTATCTCCTGTGTTCCATACCTCTGTCTTCTGCATGTATTATATATATGTAATATAATATAATAATATTATCATTATATTACTTCTTGAAAAATGTCATCACAAAAAAACTTTGAAAAAAATTCTCAAACCATCTTTTAGAAAGGCGAGAGCTGGCCAGGTGCAGTGACTCACGCCTATAATCCCAACACTTCAGGAAGTCAAGGTAGGAGGATTGCTTGAGGTCAGGAGTTCGAGACCTGCCTGAGTGACATAGTAAGACCCCGATTCTACAAAAAACCAGAAAAATTAGCAGGGTGTGATGGCACATGTCTATAGTCCCAGCCACTCCAGAGGCCGAGGCAGGAGGATAATCTAAGTCCAGGAGTTTTGAGGTTGCAGGGAACTATTTTTGTGCCATTGCACTCTAGCCCAGGGCGATAGAGACCGTCTCAAAAAAAAAAGAAAGGTGAGAGCTGCAGATCTTGAGGACCAGGTAAGAGCAGGTGAGTCAGAATCAGCAGACAAGTCCAGCACACACCTTCGCCTCGCTGTCTCTGGTAGCCACCGGCAGGCTGACCCCTCAGCAGCATTGGAGGGTGTCGTTTTTCCCCTTAGTGCAGTAACAGAACAAGATCTGTTTGTATACATATTTAAATTTTAATTTTTGAGATTCCTTCTAGTTAGGTCATTCCGAGATTACTTCATGGATACCAGCCACTGTATTTGTCCCACATCAGTAGATGGTTCCTTGGGTGAGGGCAGGCCAGGCAGTGTGTCGGCTCAGGGTCCATGCTGCGTTTTCTGACTCCTCGAATGGCTGACACACACGTTTGTGTGCCATTCTAAACTCATATGGTTTTTCTAAGTGTTTTTAAAAATTAAATTCTAGCTTTTTTAAAAATTTTATTTTAGGAGATAAAGTTCCTTCAATTAAACCAAATGCTGGGGAAGAATCCGTCATGAATCTTGACAAACTGAGATTTGCTGATGGAAGCATCAGAACATCGGAGTTACGACTCAACATGCAGAAGGTAAGCGCCCGGGCCACTCTGGCGCGCACAGACGCTGGCTGCCCGGCTGGCCCTGCAACTGGTGTGGAGGGCGCAGAGGAGCGGACAGAATAGAAAGAGGTCAGAAGGCCCAGATATACAAAGTACCACACTCCTTGCCACAGAGAGGCTGGAGGTCAACAGTCCAGGGCAGAATTAGTGCCTGCACAGCATCAGGGACAGCCTTCTGGGTCACGCGTGCCAGAGCGCGGCTTCCGTCCCCAGACTGCTGTAGCCTGTAGGGGGAAGACCAGCGGAACGTCGGAGAAGCACAGCCCCAGCTTCCTCCTGTCAGGGTTCCTGGGCGTCCAACACGACTCTCGTGCTCACCTCTCCTTGCTCAGAAATCAGTCGCACAGTCATGCCTAGCTTCCAGCGACTCTGGAGATGTCTTTACGCTCGGCCTGCTGCTGCCCTAAATGCACTCAGGTGGGAGGAGAGTGAGCATCGGGTGAGAGCTGGTCCCTGCAGCCTGTGGCTATCTGAGCGTTGGCCTTCTAGACTAGGACGTCCAGTGGGACCCTCTGTGGTGATGGAAATATTCTGAGTCTTTGCTGTCCATTGTGATAGCCACTAGCCACAAGTGGCTGCAGATCACTTGGAATATGGTCAAAGAAACTGCATTTTCATTTTATTTCATTTCAGTTTTGTTTTTTTTGCACAGGTTAATCTGCTTCATATTTCAATTTTAAATAAATAGCTATATGTTTTAGAGTCATTGCATTGGAAAAAACACAGGTTTAGATCAATAAAAATGAGTAAAACAGGAAACAGTCAATTCTTCTTGTACAGGGATTTATTTTGAGACAGAGTCTCAAAGCTTTATGGCTCGCTGAGTTCTGTGGCATCATCATAAGTTCACTTCGACCTCAAACTCCTGTGCTCAAACGATTCTCCCACCTCAGCCTCCTGAGTCGCTGGGACTACAGGCACATGCCACCACACCCAGCTAATATTTCTATTTTTGTAGAGATGGGGATCTCACTATGTTGCTCAGGCTATCTCAAACTCCGGTCTCAGTGATCCTCCACCCCAGCCTCCCAAAGAGTTAGAATTACAGGTGGGAGCACCATGCCAGCCTAATAACAGGGATTCTTGTCTGTGAGTGACAGTCTCTGTCTTCTTGAGATTGTTTGCAAGAATTTCTTCATGTGAATATTTTCTAAAAAGAAGCCCATTGCTTCAGTCATATTCTGAAAGAAGTTCAGCGGCACACACACAGACACTACCAAAAGAGAAAGGTTACCTGCTTCCATTCTCAGAATTCTATGTGCTTCTATCTTCAGGTGAGGCTGAGGCTTCATGGAATGGTGAGAGCAGCATGAGCAAGGTGCAGTAGGTCAGGCGATACTCTGCATGACCTGCGTGGGGTCGCAGGCCAGCTAGGACAGATGGAGCCATTGCGTGAGGTAGTGGGGATCTGTGCTAGGATGTGGAAGTGGCACGTCCATGAGATCTTGAATAACCAAATAAGGGTCATCTTGGTACTCCCTGTGCGCCAGGCACCTTGAGATGCTAGAGCCAGCACTGAAAACAGAGACAAAAATTCTTACACTCTGGAATGTGTATTTCAGTGGAGGAAGTAATTTTTCTGCTGATTCCAGCTAATGTATAATAGTGACAACCAAAAAGAAATGAAGGCCGGGTTCAGTGGCTCACACCTGTAAACCTAATACTCTGGGAGGCTGAGGCGGCGAATCGCTCAAGACCAGGAGTTTGAGACCAGCCTGAGCAAGGGCGAGACCCCATCTCTACTATAAATAGAAAGAATTAATTGGCCAACTAAATGTGTGTGTGTGTGTGTGTGTGTGTGTGTGTGTGTGTGTTGTGTAGTGTATGTGTATATATATAAAACTAGCCGGCATGTGGGCGCATGCCTGTAGCCCCAGCTACTCAGGAGGCTGAGGCAGAAGGATAGCTTGAGCCCAGGAGTTTGAGGTTGCTGTGAGCTAGGCTAACGCCACGGCACTCTAGCCCTGGCAACAGAGTGAGACTCTGTTTCAAAAAAAAAATGAAGCACATATTGAAAAAGAGTAGGTAAAGTTATCATTATTTATAAGTATGCTTTCCTAAAATTTCTGAGAGAATAAACTGAAAAACCAATAGAAGTAATGGAAGAATGTAGTAAAGTGCCTCGATAAAAGGTTTGCATGTAAAGTGAGTAGCTTTCAGTCCTCCGGCAGCGACCCACTCGTCATTCAAACAGCCCTCTCGTTCACGTTACAGCTGGACATGTGTAAATGCCGTGGACAGACTTAGCCAGAAATATGTTAAAAAAATATGGAGAATATATGCCTACTAAAGGACAGGAAATACTATTGAATATTTTGTAGATTCTAAGATGCAGTTTTTCCCCATGTATTCTTCCTGAAAATCCAGTAAGTTGATGATGTGCATTGCAGTTTCACAATAACATATTAGTCTAAAGAAAATTAGATGAAATGTCTCCAGATTAAATCATAAAGCTAAAGACATGACATTCTCTGATGTTCATTCAGATCAGGGAACACAGCAGAGGCTGGGGGGCCGCGCGGTGCTGTGGGGCATCTGGGATGGCGAGGTTTCTCAGCAGCGAGTAAGGGGAGGTGCGTTCTGTAAGTGGTGCCCGTCCATTTGGTAGGAAACAAAGGTAGATGCTTTATTCTCAGCATACCTGAAATAAACTTCAGATGTGCTTCGTGGCACGTCTTACACACTATGAAGCTGTAAAGGCACGTGATCTATAAAGAGCGTCCGCAGCACAGCCAGTAGGCCAGTAGCCCGTTAGAAGGTGGGCAGAGGGTCCCCTGGCCCCTGACTTCCCACTCCTGATGACCTGCTGCCTCTGCACCCCTGCTCACCCGCGCGCCATTGCGGCACCTCCTGGCGTGTGTCCCAGCAGGGCTGTGTGGTTCATGTCATGTTGCCACTGGAGTTCTGCGGCCTGCACCGGCTGTTCATTTGTCAGGGGCACGGGGAGGTACTGCTTCCTGGCTCAGAGCACCGCGCCGCACACGAGGTCTGCGTGGCATCGCCGTACTGGCCGTGCTCCACAGACTCTGCTGCCAGAGGTGCAGTGCTGCCCTGTAAATGGTGTCTGTGGACCTCCTCCTAAGACATACTTGTGATGGAAACGTAGAAATTATTTTTAAACCTTTAATCAAAACTTTATTTTAAGGCCGGGTGAGGTGGCTCACGCCTGTAATCCTAGCACTCTGGGAGGCTGAGGTGGGAGGATCGCTCAAGGTCAGGAGTTCGAAACCAGCCTGAGCGAGACCCTGCCTCTACTAAAATAGAAGAAATTAATGACAACTAAAATATATATACAAAAAATTAGCCGGACGTGGTGGCGCATGCCTGTAGTCCCAGCTACTCGGGAAGCTGGGGCAGGAGGATTGCTTGAGCCCAGGAGTTTGAGGTTGCTGTGAGCTAGGCTGACTCCACGGCACTCACTCTAGCTTGGGCAGCTGTAAGTGAGACTCTGTCCCAAAAAAAACAACTTTATTTTAAAATTCAGAGTAATAGGCCAAGCGCAGTGGCTCACGCCTATAATCCCAGCTCTCGGGAAGGCTGAGGCAGGGGGATTGCTTGAAGCCAGGACTTTGAGACTAGCCTGGGCAACATTGCAAGACCCTGTCTTTACAAAAAAATAAAAATCAGAGTATGAATTTCCTAGTTTTTCTGTTTAATTTACATAAATGTTTTACATACAATGAAATGTGAAAAACAATTAGGTCCGAAGGTTAAGCAGTTCCTGGTATGGCTTCTTCTGTGGATTGAAAGTTTATGAGTGATACTTTGTGTCACAGTCGATGCAGAGTCATGCCGCGGTGTTCCGCCTGGGGAGCGTGCTGCAGGAGGGCTGTGAGAAGATCAGTCAGCTCTATGGAGACCTGAAGCACCTGAAGACCTTTGACAGGGGTGAGTGGTCAGCGGCTCCTCTGCGCGGCTGAGGGCTGCCTTCTGTGGGTGGCTGTGTGTCCCGCTCAGCATATCTGCGGGCGGCCGTCTGTCCTGCTCAGCACATCTGCAGGCAGCTATCTGTCCTACTCAGCACATCTGCAGGTGGCTGTCTGTCCTGCTCAGCACATCTGCAGGTGGCTGTCCTGCTCAGCACATCTGCAGGTGGCTGTCTGTCCTGCTCAGCACATCTGTAGGGGGCTGTGTGTCCTGCTCAGCACATCTGCAGGTGGCTGTGTGTCCTGCTCAGCACATCTGTGGGGGGCTGTGTGTCCCGCTCAGCACATCTGTGGGGGGCTGTGTGTCCCGCTCAGCACATCTGTGGGCGGCTGTCTGTCCTGCTCAGCACATCTGCAGGCAGCTGTCTGTCCTGCTCAGCACATCTGCGGGCGGCTTTCTGGGTGGGCCCTGCACATGGCTGATTGGCGGTAGCCAGCAGCCCAGCCAGTGGCAGTGTGCTTGCCAAGCCCATGGCCACAGCCTGGATAGCCTGTGTGACCAGATCGCCCCATGGGCCTCGTGTTGCCCCCAGGAATGGTCTGGAACACAGACCTGGTGGAGACCTTGGAGCTGCAGAACCTGATGCTGTGTGCGCTGCAGACCATCTACGGAGCCGAGGCACGGAAGGAGTCTCGGGGTGCTCACGCTAGGGAGGATTACAAGGTATGCCCCTCACCACGTCCCAGTGCACCTGCTGTTTCTCCCACCTGGTGTTGCTAACTCCATGCCTACATTTTCTCTGCATTTCATTTCATTTTCCCAACAGGAAGTTGAGGAAAATGCTGTTTTGTTTTTTTTTTCCTGATAATTTTCATTCCCTTGCTCGCCATCGTCAGTACCCGTGAGGCCTTGTTCTTTCTTGATCAGCACCTACTGCTGCCAGCAGTGGCATCTTGGCAAAACGTGCCTTGTTCTCCCTGGGGCCAGGGTCAGAGTGTAGCCAGAGTGCCATGGCTGGGAAATGCTAATTTACTGAATTAAAATGATGGGAAAATCATTATTTCAGACCTGCCCTGTGATATGGAAAAGGTATCATAGATCCTGATCTTTGGTCAGGTGAACTGATTTTTGTGCAGAGCACATGTGTCAGATTGTGCCAGAAAAGAGTATTTAGCATAGGATAGCGAAAAACATAGAAAGGGAAGCTTGGCGTGTGAATGCAAGTTCAGGATAAACTGCATCAGCGAAAGGATCAAGATTTTCTACAGGGCAGATGCACAGGCTTTGGCTCAGGACGGGGTATGGGTTGCCGACGGCCTTTCTGATCAGCTGAACGTGAGTGAATGGGAAGGTTGGCTAAGCAGGAGAAATCAGGTTTTTATTTACTGTGAAATTGTATTGCTCTGTCCTCCACGAATCGGAGCCATGTACTGGGATTGGGTTTGCCTTGTACGCAGTGTGAAGGGAGGGATTGGTGAGCATGTCTCTAGTGTGTACAGAAGGACAAGAAGCTTCTCCACGGTTGGTCATGCACGGGGCTGAGAGGAACGAATCTTCATTTCATTCAGTTACAGCAGATACACAGGTGGAGCCCATGGGAGCTTGTTCTGCAATTACATATTTAGGAATTGAGGACCATTGAAGCCCCTCTGTCTCCCTTCCCTCTGTCCATCCACTGACCCACCTCACTTAGCAGAAACAGCCAAGTCTTTGGATCTTTTGGGGTTTTTTGAAGAGGCTCTTACAAGTCTTATCCATTCCTATGTGCAAGATTTTCCTTAATAGCATTCAGCTTCTCTTTATGAGTTTTCAAAAATTTTAATATAATTGCTAAAATCAAAAACATTTAAGTAAAAACAAAGTGAAAAAAAAGGTTGAGGCAATCTCCCAGAGTGTGAAACAAAAAGTCAAAGTATTCGATGAACTTTTAGGTACGTGAGGGATATTATCTAACAGCAAATACAGAAACGGATCACTCTGGATCCGCACAGCCGGCTTCAAACTCCTGACCAGGCTGTGGCCTCTGTGGGTTCTGAGCTCGTCCCTGGTGCCCTCGTGGCTGAAGGGCAAGTGGCGTGAACGCAGGGCCTGGCAGACTGGTCTCGTGTGCGTTACTCTAGGGCTAACGCACCTTCTGCTTGTGTTGCTGTAAGTGTGATAAGCATGTTGGCGTTTTTGGCCTCAGGTGCGGGTCGACGAGTATGACTACTCCAAGCCCATCGAGGGGCAGCAGAAGAAGCCCTTTGAGGAGCACTGGAGGAAGCACACCCTTTCTTACGTCGACATCGGCACCGGGAAGGTACATAGGGTTGGGGGGACTTGTCACCGTGCGCTGATGCCCCTGCTGCCCTGCTATGCGCTGGGAAGAAAGCCCAGATTTAAATCAGCAGTTGACAGAGTGGAGGCACCACTGAAAAAGACTGTCAGTTGGGCTTCTGGCTGGAAGCAATCCAGTGCCTGCAGGCTGTTCTGAGGAGCCCAAAGAAGGGTCAGCTCTGTGATGTGAGCCAGATGGGGGTCGCTGGGGGGAGGGACCAGGTGTACAAGGCCTAGTGGCAAAGGAGGAGGGAAGCCAGGGTCTTCAGGTGGGAGGCATAGCCACTACCAGAAGTCCACCTGGAGGCAGCTGCCGGGCAGCCCAGGGGCGAGGAGCTCAGATACTGAGGACCAGCTGGGTGGGCAGCATGTGGGGAACCAGCCCCTGGGCTTGCCGTAGAGGGCTGTGGTCTGTTCTACTGAAGCATAATTCACTGGGCACTTCTGCTGGGCACCAGAATTCAAAAATAATGAAGATATAAAGTATCTACCATTAAGCTTTCTATAGCTTGTAACACATTGTCTTATGAGCATTTACCTGTGTCCACAGAAGTTAAGGTTGAGCTCTGCTATCACTTGTATAGCACACCTAGTGTGTCCTTAATTCAGGCAGCTGGTCATTTTCATAATTCGCATGAAGGCCATTTTCTGATGGTGCGTAGAAGCCAGGTTTCCCTGCTTTAGCCCAGCCTGTTTTAATAATGTTTGGAGTTTTTTGTGATTGTAAAAGAAATAACATACTCATTTTAGAAAGTAAAACAGAATCAAATAAAAGCCCATCAATCAGGGATACCTATTACCATTTTGAAGTATTTGGAAGTCTTGAGTGTACATATACATACTTTTTCCTATATGTGTACAAATTTGTGTATACAGGTTGAGTATCTTTTATCTGAAATGCTTGGGACCAGAAGTGTTTCAGGTCTGGGGTATTTTTCAATTTGGGATATTTGCATTATACTTGCTGGTGGAACAGCCCTAATCTGAAAGTCTGAAATCCTCGAAGTGCTCCATGAGCCTTTCCTCGAGTGGCATGTCATTGCTCAAAGAGTTTCAGATTTTGGAGCATTTGGAACTTTTGGATTATGGGTGTTTAATCTGTATAAATACTTTCTAGTAGAAAAACTGGAACTAAGTAGATGGTTTAACATACAGTGAGATGGTACATACGAGGTTTCGCCTCTTCGTGATGTAAGCGTTTCTGTAGAGCACTGAGAGTCTGTGTGGTGGTGTTTGATTGCTCTCCTCCGCTGTGCCGATTTACCGTCATTGTGTGGTTCCCCGTCATGCATGTACCTCATTTCCACTTTGTTACTGAAAAAATACTCCAGTGAATACCTTTGTCTTTAAGTTCTGACAGCTGTAAATCTAAATTTTTTCAAAAGCAAGTAACACAAAATGGCAGTTTGCTCGTGACTCACCACCGACTATTCTTTTTAAGGTCACTCTGGATTACAGACCTGTCATCGACAAAACTCTGAACGAAGCAGACTGTGCCACGGTCCCCCCAGCCATTCGCTCCTACTGATGAGAGGAAATGCGGTGACCACAGAATCAGCTTTGTAATTATGTACAGTAGCTCACGCGCATGTCATGTCATAATGGCCTTTATAAAACTCTGCACTTAGCTTTGTCCCTTGCTTTATTCTTTTTTTTTTCCTTGAGACATAGTCTCACTTTGTTACCAGGGCTGGAGTGCAGTGGTGTCATCACAGCTCACTGCGGCCTCCAACTCCTGGGCTCAACAAATCCTCCTGCCTCAGCCTCCCAAGTAGCTGGGACTACAGGTACCACCACCACACCCAGCTAATTTTGTGTGTGTGTGGTAGAGACGTGGTCGCCCTCTTGCTCAGGCTGGTCTTGAACTCCTGAGCTCAAGCAGTCCTCCCGTCTTGGCCTCCCAGAGTGCTGGGATTATAGGTGTGAGCCACAGCACCCGGGCCCTTGCTTTATTCTTGTGAAATGATAAGACTGGACACAATTCTTGAAGCATAAATGAACAAACTTCATTTCCAAATCTGTTTAAAATACTGTACTGTTTGGCTTTAGGCATAAAAATGAAGCCGGGTTCAGTGCTCATTAATCCTAAACTCGGAGGCTGAGACAGCGATCGCTCAAATCAGATTCGAGATCCAGCCTGACAAGACAGACCATCCTTACAATAGAAAAATTAATTGCCAACTAAATTTGTTGGTGTGTTTTGTGTATAAACTAGCCAGCATGTGGCAGTCCCTGTAGTCCCAGCTACTCAGAGCTGACAGAAACACTACCCAGGAGTTGGAGGTTCTTGAGCTAGCTATGCCACGCACATAGCCCTGCAACAGAGTGAACCCTTGTCTCAAAAAAAAAATGAAGCACATATGAAAAAGAGTAGTAAAGTTATCCATTATTCTAAAATAAGCTTCCTAATTTCGAGAGAATAATGAAAACAATGAAGACATGAAAATAGTAATAGTGCCTCGCTATAAGGTTGCATGTAAGTATAGCTTCAGGTCCTCCGCAAGCGACACCACCGTCATTTCAAACAGCCCTCTCGTTCCAGTAAGCTGACATGTGTAAATGCCGTGATGGACTGCCAGAAATATGTATAAAAAATAGGGAAATATGCCACTAAAAGACAGGAAATGACTATTTGATATTTGTAGATCAAATGCAGTTTTTCCCATGTATCTTCCTGAAAATCCAGTAAATTGAGATGTCATTGCATTTCACAATAAATATTAGTCTAAAGAAATGATCAATTCTCAGATAAAAATATAACAAAGACATGACATTTCTGTTCATCAGTCAGGAACACAGCAGACCCCCGCAACCAACATCCCAACCGGCACGCGATCAACAAACAATCACAAATCAATAAACAAGAATAGACAAGCATTATCTACAGCAAAACAAGAAAACAACAAAACATACCAACAACAACACAAACACACACACACAAACAGAACACACAACACACATACACAAAAAAACAGAAGCACAACAATACCCAATCCACTTTTCTCTGCCCTGTCCAAGCGATGAAAAAAACAAAACTTAGACAATTAGATGACACACAACATATGCTGGCACGGAGTTCTGCTGCCCACCTAAATAAAAACGAAGGACAACTACCATAACCACCCAACCACAACATCAACATGCACATGACAACAACAACACCACACCAACAACAGAGGACAGCTGACCGGAACTAACTCCATCCAAACAATTATGACGATAAATTATATATAACTTTAACAAGTTATATTAAGGCGGAAGGTGCTCACGCCTATCTCCATATGAGCAAACAAGCCACACCACACAGTCAACCACTGAGCGAGACTGCCATATACATAATAGAGAATTAATTGAACACTAAATTATAAAACAGGACTAAAAGGCCCATGCCTGTAGTCAGCTACCTACAGAGCTGGCAGGAGGATCAGTTGACAGGAGTTTGAGATGCTTGAGCTTAACTGACTACGCCTCACCTAGCTTTGGACTGTACAAATGAGCTGTCTCAACAACACATTACTTACTCAGATAAAGGCCCGCATATGGCTCACACACATAAAAAAAAAAAAAAACAACAGCTCTCGGAAGGAGGCAGGGGGATTGCTGAAGCCAGACTTTGAGACTACCTGGCAACATGCAAGAACCTTCTTTACAAAAAATAAAAATCAAGTATAATTTCCTAAGTTTTTTGTTTAATTTACATAATGTTTTACATACAATGAAATGTAAAAACATTAGGTCCGAGGTTAAGCATTTCCCGTGGCTCTTCTGGATTTGAATAGTTTTATATGATACTTTTGGTCACAAGTCCGATGCAGAGTCCATGCGCGTTGTTCCGCTGGGAGCGTGCTGCAGGAGGCTGTGAAAGTCAGTCACTTTCAGGAGACCTGAACAACTGAAGACCTTTGACAGGTGAGTGTCACGGCTCCTCGCGCGCTGAAGGCTGCCTTCTGTGGGGCTGTGTGTCCCGCTCAGCATATCTGCGGGGTCCCGTCTGTCCTGCTCATACATCTGCAGCAGCCATCTGTCCTACTCAGCACATCTGCAGGTGGCTGTCTGTCCTGCTCAGCACATCTGCCAGTTGCCTGCGTCCTGCTCAGCACCATCATTGTAGGGGCTGGTTCCTCAGCACTGCAGGTGCTTGTGTCCTGCCCAGCACATCTGTGGGGGGCTTGGTGTCCCCGCTCAGCACATCTGTTGGCGGCTGCTGACCTGCTCACACATCTGCAGCACGTCTGTCTGCTCAGCACATCTGCGGCGCTTTCTGTGGCCCCTGACATGCTGATTGGCGTAAGCCAGCAGCCCAGCCAGTGGCAGTGTGCTTCCAAGCCCAGGCCACAGCTTGGATAGCCTTGTGTGACCCAGAATCGCAATGGCCTCGTGTTGCCCCCAGAATGGTCTGAACACAGACCTGGTTGAGACCCTGGAGCTCAGAACCGAATCTGTTGCGCTGCAGACCATCTACGGAGCCAGGCACGAAGGAGTCTCGCGGTCCACGCAGGAGATTACAAGGTCCCTCACCGCACGCCCCAGTGTACCTGCTGTTCTTCACAAACAAACTCCATGCCTACATCTTTCCTGCATTCATTTCATTTCCCAACATGAATTGAGAAAAATGCTGTTTGTTTTTTTTTCCTGAAAATTTTTCATTCTTGCTTGCCTCAATCAACCCCGTGAGGCCTTGTTCTTCTGAACAGCACCTTACTTGCTCCAGCATGGCATCTTGCAAAACGCTTGCTTGGTTCTCCTGGGCAGTCAGAGTTGTAGCCAGAGTGCCATGGCTTGGAAATGCTAATTTACTGAATAAATGAGGGAAATCATGTATTTCAGACCTGCCCTGGATATTGGAAAAGGTAATCATTTAGATCCTGATCCTTTGTCAGGTGACGATGTTTTGTGCAGAGCACAGTTGCAGATTGTGCAGAAAAAGAGTATTAAGCAAGAATAGCGAAAACATAGAAACGGAAGCTTGGCGGTGAATGCAAGTTCAGATATAACTGCATCAGCGAAAGATCAGATTTCTCTACGCAGATGCACAGGCTTTGGCCTCCCGGACGGGTGTGGTTGCCCGACGGCTTCTGATCAGCTGAACGTGAGTGAATGGAAGGTGGCTAAGCAGGAAGAAATCAGGTTTTTATTTACTGTGAAATGTATTGCTTCTTGCTCCCACGAATCGGAGCCATGTACTGATGGGTTTGCCTTGTACGCAGTGTGAAGGGAGGGATTGGTGAGCAATGTCCTCTAGTGTGTACAGAAGACAAGAAGCTTCTCCACGTTGGTCATGCAACGGGCTGAGAGAATGAACTTCATTTCATTCAGTTACAGCCAGATACACAGGTGGAGCCTGGGAGCTTGTCCTGCAATTACATATTTAGGAATTGAGACCATTGAAACCCTCTGTTCCCTTTTCCATCCTGACCCACCTCACTTAGCAGAAACAGCCAAGTGTTGGATCTTTTGGGGTTTTTGAAGAGGCTCTTACAATCTTATCCATTTCCATGTGCAAGATTTCCTAAAGCAGTCAGCTTCTCTTTGAATTTTGAAAATTTTATATAAGATTGCTAAAATCAAAAAACATTTAAGTAAACAAAGGAAAAAAAGGTTGAGGCAATCTCCATCGAGTGACCAACACTTCAGGAAGTCAAGGTAGGAGGATTGCTTGTGGGTCAGGAGTTCGAGACCTGCCTGAGTGACATAGTAAGACCCGATTCTACAAAAAACCAGAAAAATTAGCAGGGTGTGATGGCAAATGTCTATAGTCCAGCCACCCAGAGGCCGAGGCAGGAGGATAATCTAAGTCCAGGAGTTTTGAGGTTGCAGGGACAATTTTTGTGCCATTGCACTCTAGCCCAGGGCGTAGAGACGTCTCAAAAAAAAAAAAAAGAAAGGTGAGAGCTGCAGATCTTGAGGACCAGGTAAGAGCAGGTGAGTCAGAATCAGCAGCAAGTCCAGCACACACCTTCGCCTCGCTGTCTCTGATAGCCACCGGCAGGCTGACCCCTCGGCAGCATTGGAGGGTGTCGTTTTTCCCCTTAGTGCAGTAACAGAACAAGATCTATTTGTATACATACTTAAATTTTAATTTTTGAGATTCCTTCTAGTTAGGTCATTCCGAGATTACTTCATGGATACCAGCCACTGTATTTGTCCCACATCAGTAGATGGTTCCTTGGGTGAGGGCAGGCCAGGCAGTGTGTCGGCTCAGGTCACTGCTGCGTTTTCTGACTCCTCGAATGGCTGCGACACACGTTTGTGTGCCATTCTAAACTCATATGGTTTTTCTAAGTGTTTTTAAAAATTAAATTCTAGCTTTTTTAAAAATTTTATTTTAGGAGATAAAGTTCCTTCAATTAAACCAAATGCTGGGGAAGAATCCGTCATGAATCTTGACAAACTGAGATTTGCTGATGGAAGCATCAGAACATCGGAGTTACGACTCAACATGCAGAAGGTAAGCGCCCGGGCCACTCTGGCGCGCACAGACGCTGGCTGCCCGGCTGGCCCTGCACTGGTGTGTGGAGGCGCAGAGGAGCGGGACAGAATAGAAAAGAGGTCAGAAGGCCCAGATTAGATCAAAGTACCACACTCCTTTGCCACAGAGAGGCTGGAGGTCAACAGTCCAGGGCAGAATTAGTG